TTTGCAAACAGGAAGGGGTCCAAGATACTAAGGATGAGGAGAGAGGGAAGGGGAAGGAAAATTAAAAGATTGAAAATGTATCGTACATGTGCCAAATACCTACAATGAAAGTAAACACTGTCATAAACACAAACCAATAATAATAATAACAACAACAACAATCATGAAAAGAGGATCTAGAGAAGTAGGAAGGTGGTTGGAAAGTGGAAGAGGAATAAAAATCAAGATGTATTATGTCCATATAGCTACTTCCTAATATGAATATAAACTTCCTGTATTGTAAACATGAATTAATAAAATTTTTTAAAATGTAAACAAGAAATTCTCAATCAGTTGCTATTATTCACCCAGGTGAATAGGGAAATAGTGTTTTTCTCTTTAAGAAAAAAAAACAAAGCAAGCAAGTTAATAAATGATAGGTAACACAGTGCTCAGTGATTAGGGTAAGAGTGAGGACCATGACAAAACAGTCATGCTCTGCCTAAAGGGACAGTGGCTACCCAGCTCCATTTGGTCACAGTGACTTGCCTTTGCCAGAACATCTGATTTTTTGTTTTGCTTTGTTTTGGTCCAGGGATCAAACTCAGGACCTTGCACTTATGAAGCAGGTGGGAGAAACTCTGAGCTAAATACCCAACCCTTTTATTTTTTGTATTTATTTTTTATATTATCAATTTGTGATTGAAATGCCTCCATTCTTTAAATATGAAAACAAATTTGCATTAGTTGACGTCAAAACAAAAACATTCTGAAGTCCGATTGGGCCTCATGTCTCTGTGCCTTATAACTAGTTGACAGTGTGACAGGAAGGAAATGTTCCTCTAAAAAGCCCTGAGCACCAGTTTCACCTCTTATGTCCACTTACTTTGTGATCTTTCACAAACCTTGTCTAATACAAGGCTGCAAGCAGTTCAGTGCCATGGATAAAAGTTCAAGAAGCTTCAGAAGAAAACAGAATTGCCAGTTCAGACTAGCTAAAGTTAGAGGAACTAAGAAAGCAAGTGATGAACATTCTGTCTGGATGCCCAGGGGTCCTGACATCTTCCACTAGGACCTTTTTGTCCTGTGTGATTCTCGGGCCATCTGATCTAACCAGGGGCTTTTCAGGGACAGAAAGAAATGCAAGGTTCGTGAAGATTGCTCTCTTTAGTCCACCATCTGACTCCTCCGTTTTCGGTATTTCCAGGATCGTTCTTTCAGCTTCCAAAATTTACTTATTCTGTGTTAATAAGACATATATACAAATTGCCATTTCTAACTCACTGAGAGTACAGATTTTACCCTTCATCCCCTTTCTACAAGCCATGAGCACACTAACCTGAAAATGGAGTTGAGGTCTGATGAAGGGTAAGAGTTCTGAGGCAGAATTGTAGGTTAAGTCATGGCTCTACCCCTTTGTAAGACCAGGGCAAGTTTCTGAAACTCTTGTGGTTCTGTTTCCTTGTAGATCAAATGAGACTAATGACAGCACTTATTCATGAGTCTAATGAGGATTTAAAGAATACTCATTAATCACCCAGTGAGCAGATACAATTCAGCTACTGGAAATTTGATCCTTGTTCTGCCTGAAATCTGCATAACAATCTCTACTTACAGTGAAAGCTCTTCATAACGTGGCAAACAAGCTTTAAATTTTTCCCTCAGATAATGTGAAATAGGAACAAAAGGGTCAAAGGGGAAGGGGAAATGGGCCCTGTTTCCTTTCATCTTCTTTTATTTTGCTGTTTAATTAATTTATACTTTGGATTTCTCATGTGAGAAGAGGTCTGATATCTAGAATATCCAAAGAACTCAAAAAATAGACAAAAATAAAAACACTCATCAAAAAACGAGCAACTGAAATGAATCGACATTTCTCAGAGAAGAAATAAAAATGTTCAACATGGCTGGCCATCAAGTAAATTGTAAACTGGACCTTCCAGGTTTTCTCAGAGAAAGTGCTAGTTTGAAAGTAGAGTATTGTATTACTCTCTGTAGAAATTTTTTTTAAAAAAACTTATTTTCTCCAAATATTTTCCTACTTGGCACTTTTTACTTTTAGTTTCACTGCAATGGAAAGAATCCTCCCCTGAAACCACAAAACTATGTTGGTAATTGCTCTATACATGATAGCTTTTGTGTGGTTTTTCTTTTTTATTTTTTTTTTCTTTTTTTTGTGGGGGGACCAGGAATTGAACTCAGGACCTTGTGCTTGCAAGGCAGATGGTAGCACCACTGAGCTAAATCCCTGGCTCTATACATGATAGTTTTAAAATATGATTTTTTTTCTCCCATATTCTGTCCCCATGAGAATCATATTCCATTCTGTGATTAGGGCATTAATATAGGTGAAGAACTTGCCTCTGGGTGAGTCTAAATAGCTCATTACAGCATCAGAGCTTTTAGAAAACAGTATGTTTTCTCTCTGCCCATACATGAACAGTCCAGCGGACTCATTATAAGCCCTCTGGTGACATTTACCCCTGACATAGTGACAAGCTATCCTTGGATTCAGTGATGAAAATTATGGCTCTACCATTAAAAACTGGTATTTATTTAAGTCTTCCCCAGAGCGATGTAAAGTCTAGAAATAACTGGACAAGTCCCACTTGACATTTCAAACTCAAGTGCTGATTTCAAAGTGAAAAATATCTTGTTACAAAGAATTTACAAGTTTATTGGGTTTTAGAAGAAAGAAAACCCCAAACTTTGCAGCAATACTTCTGACTGTGACTTTCCTTCAGCCCAATGGCCAGTCCATCTGGGGAGCAGATTTAAAATAACTGACCCTAACATAGTCATGTCAATTATATTAACAAAACCAAGAGCCAGCAGAGAGTTTGGTACTATGTGGTACCCGTGGTTACTCATTCCATCAAGAACTCAAGCACACAGAGAGGTCACTATGAGATGCTGTAACAACACAGCAAATCTCTGCAGATCATAGCTTTGAGGCTATCAGATACACCTCAGAGAGAGGAGGTAACAAATGAACTGTGAGAATCCAGGGAACAGAAAATGCACCTTGGAAAATGATATCATGTATTGTCTTCAATTATCCCAACCAAATATATTGATTACTTTTATAACAGTTCAGTTCACAGAACTCAGTTTTTCTAACAACAAAACTAATGGTCTCCCTGGTCCAGCTCTCTATATCCCTAACTGTACCCCCTTGATTTCCACATAACATAGTAGAGTCTATCAGCAAGTGAAGGCTTCCTATAATGAGAGAAAACAGAATGTCAGTGGTTGCAGTTATGCCCAGGCAGAGTGCTTCACTGTAATGTAATCAGCTCCGTGTGAAGATTATTACAAAGTATACCCTCGGAGACTTACAATTTCCTCAGTTAAAAATTTTGGCTAAAGATTTCCCCCTGTGAAGAAGGCACCTGTAATGAAACTCCAAGATAGAAGGGGAGAGGTGTTTGATCTTTAAATTAAATAAATATTTTTAGCCCTCACATAAAAATAAAACACTGAGCCTTTCTGTAGTTTGGTATGGACAGTGTATTCACATTTGTGTAACTGCTTATCAGAAAATCTGATATTAAATACTAAAAGTGAAGTAGAAACTCTTTTGAAATGAGTTTTCTATAATATCTATATTTTGGATAAATTCTATTAGTCCTGTTATACATTGAAAAATAATGCACACAAATTTCAGAGTCTTGGAGGAGTCACAAAAACAAAAAAAAATAAGGGAAACAAATGTGGACCACTACTTGTATCTTATATTCTTATTTGTTCATTTTTTAAAAGAAATTGGTGGCCAAAAAAAAATATACACTTAATGTTACCAGTGCCAGTGTGAATGTTTACTATGTTATTTTGTGCCTGGACTGCCTAGTTTGTAGACTTTCCCCTGAAAACCCTATCTTCATTGTGATAACTACACTATCCTCCTTGAATATCCATCCCACACCCTAATTTCTCCATCTTCCACTTAATCCTCTTCATTTCATTTGTCATTCATCCCATTCTATCTATTTGACCATTGAATCTTTCCTCTTCGCAGTTTCATGCTGATATGACTTCCAAAGTCTCAATTTTGTGATCATCCTGCCTGACACTCATCTATCGTCTACACAAAATTTTTCCCCAGAGCCTCATCTCCAAAGAACTTCCTATTCCATCTACAGTGCGATAAACCTCTTGACCCAACATATTTCACTATCACTTCCAGGCTTCCACATTTAGATCTCATAACCTGTTGTTATAATCAATATTTCCACACACTCTCCACCCCTTGCCACACTCCCTTCTGCCTACTTCACACACACACACACACACACACACACAAACTATCTGGTTAAATCTAATTCTCACTTCTCCCTACCTGTTGTTGGGAGTCATTTGACTATAATGTGTGCTGATTGATTTTTATCTCCTGGGAGAAGTCGGTTTGTGCATTTCTTAACACAAACAAATAGAAAAACAGAAATAAGCATTCACTGATCAAGCTATAATGTTAAGTAATGAAAGATTTAAGGAAAAACTCTACTTTTGTTGCTTCTAAAGAATGGCAGATTTTGCAAGACATTTGCTTTTTGTTTGATGCATTTATTTGTGACTTGAAAAGAAGTTGTAAAATACATGGATTTCTGCTGTTATTTTTTTTTAAAAATGCAAGGACAAGACCAGAGAGGGCCTTGAGGGACAACTGAAGAGTGTGCACTTTGTTTTTATTACACAGCTGCCGAGCACAACTTACACACCTCTCCGTTACTGGTCAGCAAGAGCCCCAAAACAACAACCACTTACAGGAAGAAGGACCGTGGAGGTGGGGATGGACAAAGGTGGAGAGACAGAAGTAGCATCAGACTAAACGTGGAGAAACATCTTGTAAGAAGCATGACTCAAAGCACCCCATTTGCTAGCTGAGCTCCGCACAGGAAACCACAAGGCTGTCCAGCGTCTTGATAAGGCTCACATAGGTGCCAAACTTCCTTCCAGCTCCTGGAGCGTCTTCACCAAGGCCAACAAGTCCCCTTTAATGACTGACAATCCCGCAGGAGTCTCTTGCCTTCACCACAGGACTTTTTGTCATATCCAGCAAGAAGAATGGAGGGAAGGTAAGAGTTTGTCCAGAACTTATTTCCTAAGCCATTGTTGAATATTTCTGTTTAGTCCATGTCCACATAGCTCCACATTGGGGTAGAGTTTTGGTAATCAGAAAGGCAAAAGAAGGAAAACCTGATGTTCTCTCCTGGTGCTGATAGGGGATTCAAATCTGATAACCAAGACTGATAATCAGGGTCCATCCTGAGCCATTTAACCTTAAAACCTGTTTAACTAATGAATTCAAACACTAGTACCTTCTGACCAGGGACTATACGCTGTGGCCTGGACAGATGTGAGAGACTTGCATCCTGATCACAGATCTCAGCCAATTCTTGCCAGATACTAGAGCCCAGTCAGCTGCCCCACCCAAATTAAGAGCAAAGGCAATAATAGCCCAGCCATCTAGAAAAACTAGAAGTATGCTCTGTCTGCCTGACCCAAAATAAGAGCAAAGGCAATAATAGCCCAGCCATCTAGAAAAACTAGAAGTATGCTCTGTCTGCCTGGAGCGATTATCAGCTAATCCACTCAGAATCACAGGTGAGACCAGAATAAATATGTATCCCTGCCATAGAACAACAGTAAAACCATAAAAAAGAAACTTGGAGAGGGGTTACCAGTCTTTGTAAATGCCCCAAAACCAAAAATGGTCAAGGAATTATTAAAACTCTGGAAGTACACATTTTCAAAAGAAACTAGAAAAGTTCCAACATTGGGCTCTGAATAAAGAGAAATCTATAAAATTACAGAAAAGTACCTCAAAATAATTTTCTTTTTAAAATCCTCTTTAAGCCAAGTGTGGTAACACAAACCTGTAATCTCAACACTCAAGAGACTAAGGCAGGAGCAGCTCTGCAAGTTCAAGGCCAGTCTATTCTAATAGTGAATTCAAGGCTGCATAGCAAGATCCTACCTCAAAAAGAAACCAAAAAAAAAAAAAATTCCTCTTTAAGTGAACTTTAGTAATTTAAGGTTAAAGATAATGGCTGAATCTCCCAGAGAGAGACAAAATTGAATTGCTAGTCATTCACCAAAGTGCTTTCACAAGAGCTGAGGAAACCAGGTAGGAGACCACAGTGCCTTGTTTAAGTGTGATAGGAAAGCACACATTAAAGGTGGAAGGAAAGACTTGTCTGTGTCACACTTCCCCACCCCTAAGCAGCACAGCATACAGGGAGAGATCTATCTGACTTTTGAGTGAAAGAAAGAGAATTCAAGCCTCAGAATTGGAATCCAGTAACTTGGAAAAGTCCCCAAAGACGCAGCCTCTGGACATGCATTAGCTAGGTGACCAAGAGACTATCCCTCCCACTCATGGCCCAACCTCAGGCAGTACATCATCTGCTTGTTGGTAGTACAGGAAAGTGAGCACAGGGCTTTGTCTTGGAGCTCAGTGCAAGGTATACTCAGTGAGGCCCAGCACCGGGCAGAGCCAAATATCCCTAAGCCCAGGCCAGAGTTTGTAAACAGTCTCTCCAACTGTCTTTACATCAAGCAGAGATTCATGCCCCACAGCTAGAGACTTCTTTTCCAGCCTCCATATAGGTGTCAGTTTACCCTTAGATTGTGAAGGTCCTTGTAGCTGTGTGGCTGTATCATTCAGCTTTCTTGTTAGTAAGACACAATACCCAACATCTGCAACTTAAAGGAGCAGAGATTTAGTTTGGCTCATGATCTCAAGTGATTTGGTCCATGGTCTACTACCTCAGAGGCAAAAATGTCATGCTGGAAGGGCGGGACAGAGTAAAGGTGTTTTGTTCATGGTTGCCAGGAAGCAAAGCATTGAAGCAGTGCCAGAGAGGAAGGTATCGGGGATCACACATAGGACCCAAGCATCCACCTCTATGACCCACCCAAATATACCCAGAAGTGTACTCTACTAATAGCAACTCCCAAACGAAACAAGTTGACAATTAATCTTACTCATTGCAGTGACTCAAGAGTAACCCAGCTTACTGTCAGCACTGAGAGTTAAGCAACTACTTCCTCCACCAACACCCCTGACCTCAGAGAACAGAATTTAGACAAAACTCCACCCAGTGGGGTTGAGACAGAATAGTAAACAAAGGACTTTGCCTTGGAACTCAGTGTCAGGGTCCTGAAACCTAACATGAGGCAAATGCCAACAACCTGTGTCACTAAACAAGTGCCCTTGGATGGAGCCTCTGGACTTGGTCTGTTACCAGGCAGAGAGACACAGGGCCCCAACTGACTGAACTTATATCCTGACCAGCATTGTCTGTGATGACTTCAGGGATCTCAACCATGAGTTTACCACAGCAACGGGTAGACTGTTTTGGGTTTTGGCCTTCCCTTGTGCTGTACTGGTCTCAGTGGGCTGTGGGCTCTGAGTGTGACCCAACATTGTGACAATTGAAGCAGTATGGACTATCCATTCCATCCTTCCCCCAGTTCCATCCAGTACAACTCAGAGAGTAATAGTTTGCTTGAGGAAAGAAAAAGAAGGTTAAGGTAAAAGCATTCCATAGTAGGTAGGGGCTGATCCATCTCTGATGAGGCCCAGAGCCACAAGAAAACCCAGAGTGTCACATATTGGTGACTAGACAAGGTGCTTGTGCCTATCATGACACATGGCAGAGGCTTGTAGAAACAAACTACACTTTTTAGGCACTAGATATACCAAGTGTAGATTTCAGACAAACGTGTTTGGCTCATTCTCTAGTGGTGAAACAGCAACAACACACCAACAGTGAAATCAATTCAAACCTAGAGTTAGGGTGCTTTCTATGTTAAAATAGCAGAAGTGACACTGGCTCAGAGAAAATATGCAGCCTGCTTAGTTTCTGGAAGGATAGACACAAAGTCAGATTATAAGCACTAAAATAAATCATAATCTTTCTATGCACTGTTGATGTAGGTATACAACAAATATCAAGAATTCTTAGGGAGGTATGGGGTAAAACACATCTTCAATATGTAGGATACATCAGGTACAATCCACACCATAAAAATAAAGAAATAGAAAGGAATAAGAAGAGAGAGAGAGAGAC